ACTGATTTGTAAAATAAATCAAGCACAGAAACAAAGACGAAAACAAGCCCTTTATCCTTCCAGTATTTCCTTACCTCCCTTTCAGCTGGCAGCCTCTCTGACAGTCAGGGACCTTTCCCGTCTCTGATTGTGAGGACACATCCAATTCTGAGCCTCTTCCTGGTGTGCCTGGCAGTAGCGGCCACACTGTGTGTTATTTAAGAAGTTCCGTTTGGCTCCGTGCTCTACAGAGGAGAGGAGCATATGGCCTGGACTGTTAAAAATACTCATGAGTCATGTTGCCCAGTATTGCAATACAGCCACCTCAAGGGCAATTTTCCAACAGCTCATATTGGTTTACAACATGGAATGAGGACCAGATGAAGTTCCAGGAGGTATTCAGAAGAGACATAATGCAGTGACGCAAGTTAGAATTTGGTCAGTATGTTGGGCTGCATGTCCCTTCTGGAAAGAGGCATGGAGTGTTGGTAAAAAATCAAAGCGAGGGATCCCACTCCCTGGTTCCGTTTATAGACCCAGACCCAGTATTTTGCTAAAACCTCCTATTGGAAGAAGTGGAGTAGACTTGGAGGTGAGGGTGACTCCATTCATTGACTCCCCAGAGACTTTCCTCTTCTCTGCATGACCACTAAGAACTCACCTTGCCTCATGGTGTTTGTTTGGTCCAGAGCCCCACATACTCTAACCCCCATGCTCCTAGCAGAAGATTCTTCCAGGGATAAGCGTTCATGATTTAAAAACAGAGTTATTGCTTTTAGGGAACTTCTGAAAAAGTTTAGATTGTAGATTTTTGTTATTGTTAGGTGGTTGTTTTTCTTTTAACATTTCTGAAAGTTTCTGTGGAAGTGGTCCTGAGTGTGTTGGGCTTCCTGGGGATATTTTATGTGACTTGTCAAACACCAGTATTCAAGAAGTACAGTTGAAACAACAGGAGCTGGGGGGTAAAATGGCTTAGCTCTCAGATAGTCTAAGAGTAGACAGGTGGGACGTCTGTAATAGCTTCATGATTTAGAATACAATGTTCTATTTGCCCTTTATCCTTCTTTCTATTGTAAATTAATCATTAGAGGCTCTATTTGAAGCACTTTTTCCCCCCCTTCATTGTGTATCCTGTTTAAACCTGCCCCATGTGGGCGACTGCACCTGACTGTAATTTGGGGACACAAATTGCAGTGGTTCAGCATTTTGTGACTCCTCTAAGTTAATGTCACTCCCATCTCCTGGCACAATTTGATTCAGAAGGGCGGCAATGTATCATTAATGCATTAAAACTTGTTGTTTTTAGACTGAATACCTGGAATTAGTCGGGAGCCTGACGATCCAAAACAGACTTTTTGCAGTGCTTGCGAGCCCCGAGGAAGCAATTCTTGATTAAGCATCTGCGTTATCAGAGCAGCCCAAGTACTTCAAAGGTCTGTGCAGGATGCTGAAAATAGGCACCTTGCCAAACAGAAATTGAAACACATATACGTACTACACTATTTGCCTTACAGAAATTAATTTTCAGCCTGCAGCACCTAGGATTATTTAATATTTATCTTTAGCAGCAGGAAGAAGAATCTATTATTTTATGAGTTGATTTTGTTATTTTTACCTAAGAGTTTCAGTCAGTCTTTCTCACTTATGGTCACCCCTATGCCCTGCCTATCACCCTCTTTTTATTTATTTATTTTAAAGATTTTATTGGGAATCGGGGGAGGGGAACAGACAAGTTGCTGTCCTTTTGTTCTTCAGTCTAGTTGTGGAGGATGTTGCTTCACTGGCCCATGTTGGTATTATCATTGCGCTTTTCCTGGGTGAGGCAGATCAGTCACCGACAGTTGGACAGCCACTCATGGCTGCTCTTGGCAGCTGCCGGCAGCTCACTGTAGCTTACGGGAGCCTATTGCAGCTCCACTGCAGCCTACGCTGTTGCCGGTGACTCATGGCAGCTCAGCTCCAGGTCGAGCTGTCGTTCACCATTTTAGCTGTAGAGGGTGCAGCGTCACTGGCCCTAATGTGGGATCCGAACTGGGGGCCTGCTGCTCAGAGCTGGCGTCCCAAGCCAACTCTTAACCAATGCACCACTCGGCTGGCCCTATCACCCTCTTTTAAAATTATTATTATCTTTTTAAGTATTTGGCAGCAATGGGAAAATTCATTTCTTATCACTTAATTTCCCAAGTTGATCCCCTGGGAAGAAATGATCAGGCCCCTTCAGGGATCTGAGAAAATTTTAAGGTGTAGGATCAGTTGAATTGACTTGGTGGCATTAGGTCTCAAAGAAAGAGTTTTGGATTGCAAGTAAGGAGGCTGAGTTCTAGAGCCTGTCTCCACTTTTGTGACCTGGGAGACATCTCTTATCTTTTCCAGAACCTCCCCCTCATCATCTGTTCCTAATTAGTTGAGAGTCAGTAGTCCCTACAGAGCTCTTTTCCCTAGTGATTTATCATTCTGAAATGCCACCAAGGTCCTACAGTTCCTCCTTCTGTTCTAAAATTCCAAAGGGTTGTGTGCTACGTTGATTGTTTGCTCCTGTGAAATTAAAGCACCAGGAAAGGAATATGTCACTGTGTCAAATAACAAAATGACTGATAGAGTATCAGGGGGACTTGAGTGTATAAAAAGCCACAATATTGCAAAGTACCTTGTAGATGGGAACTGTTAAATATCAATGGAGCATTGCTGTGTCTGCACCGTCAGCATTTCCCTGTGACCACAGTGAGAGAGATGCTAAAATGTCATTTCATGGACCACATTATGTGCTGCTTACGATGAATCTTCTGGCCATGGTTTATTACATTTTTGATAAATTGTAACTTCTTGGACCCAAATTTGGTTAGCTTATCTCTAGTGCCATTTAAATATCTTAAAAGACTGAATTTACCCCAAAGATTTAATCATTATTCAGCAGCGGTCTGTAACCATGTGGTACTAATTTAAATTACTGTAGCAATGGACAAGTCTCTATCCAGAAATTAATAAATGCAATTTATAAGGAATGTTAAGTAACAACTAACAATTTAATGCTTTGTGAGTTTCAGCCAAACTGATTAAATAATTAAAACAGATTTCTAGGGATAGGGGAAGAGATTTTACCATAAAAGAGATAAACAGTTTGGGAATTGTATGCATTCTTTTAGACATTTAAGATAATTAAATCCAAAACCTATGTTAAAATAACACTAAAGGTCTGGTTTAAATCAGTACTGGGAATTGCTAAGTTAAGAATTGAGCACCATCCTCAGTGTCTGTCCCATTGTTTTAAATAAGACTTTTGGGGACTCTCAGAGCACGAGGTCAGTTTACAGAGCTTGCTATTGGTGTGACAATATTGGTATCAAGCACAAATAAATATATGCAACGGAACTTCTTTCTTACCATGACGTTTTTAGGCTTTTACTTAGACAACCGGATGTTTAGAATCTTCTTAGAGCTGTTGTACAAACCTGAAACTCTCTTATACATGGTTTTCAAATTTGTACTTGTTAAAAAAATGGTAAAGGAATTTAGAGATCATAGCTATTTTGATTGAATGTGCAGTTAAGTGTAATATGGACATTTATGGGTTTAAAATAATTCATTTTTGCGACAAATTGTTGAATGCTTGTATGTGTACAGTACAGGTATGTTTTTGTGATGCAGAGTTTTACGAGGCATGAAAGCCCTCTATTTTCTGATAAATAATTTTGCAGGCAGCAAAAAGATGGGTAGTCCTCTTGATAGAAATCAACATGGATTATAATAGAATGCATTCCTTTTAAGGATAATTTTTCTTAAATCATTAGCACAAATGCCTCAAAAGGTGTCTATCAATCATCCTTTACATTGTATTTGTGGCCCACCAACCCGGTGGAGAAAGACTGACTATCTAACCACTTGTGTCAGGGCCTCCTACCTTAACTGTATGAACGCTGGATGGTGGTATCTATGGGATGGAGTGGAAATGTGGAAGTTGTTAGAAAATATATTTTGGGGGTGTGCATAGTTAGTGAATGATATTTGGTTGAAATTTCACTGAACTGGCCAGCTGTTTTGGGGTTAGATAGATGCAAATTAAAGGTTCTACTACCCAATAGGTTTGGAATTCATTTTTTTTCCAAATCAAACATATTGTACTTTCCTCAAAATGTGCTTTTCCTTATATGATAAATAATTATCCTGGTTTGCCTGGTTCTGGGTTTCCCAGGATGCAGATTTTTGTTTTTGTGCAAAAACTGGTGAAGTCCCAGGCAAACCCCGATGAGTTGTTTGTCCTACCTTTTAACTTCTCCTCTTGATTAATCATACTTTCAACTATTCAATCATTCTGGACTTTTCCATTTTTTTTTTCCACATCAAATTTTCACTGAGTTTCATCAAGTATTTTATTCTTCCTCTTCTCCAGACTCTATTCTTGCCTTGGCTCTAGCAATAGTATGCTTTTGCCTGAACTATAGAAGCTACCACTAAAATGCCCCACCTCTAGATTTGCTCTCACCTCAATCACCCTACAACTCAACTTTCACTAATATTTTTAAATGCTTGTTCACTTTGTTAAGCCTTCAGTGTTACTTATTACATAAAACCCCAATTTATATTCAAAGTTGGGGAGAGATAAGGCCCTCCATCAGCTGGTTCCTGCCAAAATCTCCATCCTCACCTCCATCCATACTCTTTCAACTCTATTCTTTAGCCACGTGGATCCACTTTGAGTTTCATGGGCACAGAATACTAATTCACAGTTGTATATCTTTGGCTATAATATTTCCTATTTTTGGAATGCTCTTCCCAGCCCTTTTTTAATCTGGAAGGCAACTAATTATTTTTCAAGGCCTAGTTTAAGCATCACCTTTTTAATGAAATCCTTTCTGCCCCAGAATGAAATTGACCACTGCTCATTTTGTGCTAGAGTGTGCCTTGTATATTCATCATGTACCTAAAAACACATGCTGTAGTTACTTATTGACTTGTTAGTCTTCTGTTCTAGATTTTGTACCCTTTTAGTGAAGGGAAACTGATTTATTAATATTTATTTCCAGATTTTGTTATCAAGTCTTACAAAAAAACGACAATGAAATGTTGGTGGAGTGAATGAAGAATCTGTCTTCCTGCATCATGGGAACCATACTGAGATAGTAGAACAATGTATATGGTGAGTCTCCAAGCACTTACTTGGATAATGTTCTTCTCATATTGCCTGGTTGAAACTTGAAGTTTCAACTTACTTGTTTATCATTTCATCATTGTATCATTTATTTGCTCATAGAGTAACTTCCAAAAGCAAACTGTATGTCCACATATTAGCGAGGTGCCACTTTGTATCATGTTTTCTTATTCTATGTCAGTTTTGATTCAAATCTAGCAAACACCGTTGACTGCCTAGCCAACATTCATCTCTCTGCCCCATCCCCATGACTCTATCCTTCCAAACAGAACACTGTTTATTTCAGGGTCACCTCTCCTCTGCAGGGTCATGTACTTCTGAAATGTTCCCAAAAGGGGTGGCTCCTGATTTGTCTAAGGCAATCATAGTGACCCATTCCCCAAAGCTATGTAAAGATGGCTTAAGGTTCAGGCTCGTGACGCAATTCTGGCCAATGATTTATAAGGCAAACATGGGATCTTTTGGAAAGGTTCCCTCTCAAAAGGAAGGTACTGAGGAAGAAATGGTCTCATTATCTGGATGTTGTTCTATCTGTATGTGGCACCTAAAGCTACTGTGGTCATGTTGTGACATTGAGAGAGGCTGGCCTTTCACTGAGACAAGCATATCAGAAAAATAAAAGGAACCTAATTCTTGATATCATTATGGAGTCTCTGATCTTGCCTCAGCTAGAGCCCTCAGCCTCTTTCTTCTAGACTTCTAATTATATTACATGTGACTGAAAGTCTTACAACTGACACAGACAAGTATAACATTCTAATCTGAGAGGGATAGGGCCTTTTGTTTAATGCATATCTTAAGGGATATCAAAGGCAAGGATAAAAACGCTTAAAGCACATGTGAAATAAAGGTGGAAGCTGCTGAAATGACCACCTGAGAAGATTCAAATTCAACCATGTGTTTAACACCTATGTTAATCAATCAGTCAATCGATGAAGATTCTGTTTGAGGAACTGTACTAAGTTCTTGTAAGGGACACACACTCTAAGCAGGCACAACCTTTCTCTGGTGAGCTAACGGTCTCATTAGTGAGCTGGGGCAGAGACCTAGATTACTATTCCATAAAAAAAGAAAGTAATGAAGTATGATAGCAGTGCTGATGATCTCACATTTATTGAACAATTACTACATACCAGACACTGTTCTAAGTCTTTCCCAAGGACTTTTATTTGCATCAGCTGTATTTTTTTCTCTCAAATATGTTCCTTGCATACCGCTTCACAGCCTAAAAATACTTCTGTGCATGTAGACTTAATATAAGTCTGTCTTGTTCTAAAAGAGAGCGAGAGGAAGGAAAACACTATCTTTCCTGACTTTATTTTCCTCTCCAGGTACCACCTTATTTCCCTTTACAAACTTACAAACTTCACCAAGTTTGTTTTTGTTTGTTTTTGTTTGTTTGTTTGTTTTTAAATAACAAACTTTATTCCTTAGAACATTTTTAAGTTGACAACAAAATTGAGCAGGAAGCAGAGGGAGTTCCCATAAGCACCCTGTCGCCACACACACGAAACTTCCCCCACAACCAACATCCCCACCATGTGGTGTGTTTGTTACAATCAACAAACCTACATTATCATATCATTATCACCTCAAGTCTCATTTACATCAGGCCTCACTCTTGACATTGTAAATTCTGCAGGTTTTGACAACTATTGAATGCCATGTATCTCCCATTGTAGTGTCATACAGAATAGGGTCACTGCTCTAAAAATGTCCTGTGCTCTGCCTATTCAGCTCTCCCTCTCCCTGCACCAAGTTTTTGGAAAAACTAAATAAATGACACTTCCTTCCATGAGCCTCTGGTTTTTCACATCATATTCATTCTTTGATCCACTGTACTTACTTTCATTCCCCTCCTGTTTCTGAAACTGTCCTGAAAAAGGTCACCATTGACCATGATATTGAAAATTCAGTGGTTGTACCCCTGCTAGTTATTTCTTTTTTCCTCCCCTCGGTAACAACGTCATCTATCCAGCTTACCTAAGGCAGAAACCTCAGACCCACATTGGACTCTCACCTCTTTCTCTATCTCTTGTTAATTCTATTTCCAAAATTGTTATTGCATAAATTTCTCCTGAAAGAAATGCGACGTTTCTTGCCTCACTTTAGGGCTTCCATTATCTCTTCTCTGGACTACTGTAAAAACCTCCCAACTTATTCTCATGCCAACCCATACGCTATAGTGATATCAAAGTAACTTTCTAAAACACCATATTCTTACTGGCATTCTCTGTTTGAAATACTTGAATAGTATGAGATAGTATTTCCTGCAAAATAGCATCTAAACTCCTCAACTTGGTCTTAAAGACCTTCACAGCCCTGCAAAGCATCACCTGTAGTCACTCCTCCTCCATGATGTCTCTTCCACCTACACAGAAGTGGTCTGTGCCCTAAGCATGTGCATTTTCACTGCTCTGTGACTTTGTCTAGTCTTCTCTCTGTGTGGAACGCCCTCCCTCCCTTGTCCAGGTAAAGAGCTTCTATTGCTGGGGCATATTGCAAATGTTCCCTGCTTTTCTGCCAATCGTTTCATAGCACTTTTAACATTTCTCCCTCATCAAAACTGTTGTGCTATGTTGTCATATTTGTTTGTCTATGTGCCTGATCCCTTCTGTTAAATGTGAGCTTTTGAGACAAGGAACTTTGCTTCATTCTGTCACATTTCATCTCCAGTACCTGGTATAGTGTCTAGTACTTACTAAATGTGTGTTGAATTAAGGCTATTGTGATGGTGTGAACAGATTGTGATGGTGATGGGAGCTCTGAGTGGGAGCAATTGTCAGGGTAGTTTTATTCATTGATTCACTCATTCGTTCATTCAACAAATATTTACAGAATATCTACTATGAGCCAGGCACTCTTGTAGGTACTAGATATAACAATGAACAAACAGAGGACTATATTACACATTATGTATGGGACATAATATCCTATGCTAGTGGGAGAAAACAGATACAGTGAACTTGGCAAAGGGCAAGTCCCATAAATGAATGAAAAGATTAATACATAAATTATTGTAAGATATAGGGAGTGGAAAGGGTCAGTGATAACCTGACCAGTCCATGACCCACCCAAACGCATTTATTTAAACTCACATTCACACATCAGTCACAGCAGCTTACACATGACCTGGCCCACTGAACCTATTTTGGGGCCAGATTTGGCCAGTTGAGTACCTCTTTAAAGCCCTTGTTGCAGAGACATCTTTGTTCCAGATTCTGTTTCTTGAAAAAGCAGGGAGCGGCAATAGGTCCTTGAACCCTGGCAGCATTTCCTTAGTCTTACTCCATTCTACCTTGATAACAGCACCTGACTTTGTCTTATCTTCTTTATCCCATGCTTGTAGTTTTATGATATTTTCTCAGCAGCTACAAGCTTGTCCTGAGAAAATGGTCCATTTATATTCCTTGGAAAAAAATACTCTTGTTTGGGAATCAAAGGCCCAGCAACGAGAGTGCAAGAGGGGCAAAAAAGAGCATGGATGCTCTCACACCAGGTTCAGAAGTTTTAGTGCATTAAAAATAGCTTCCGCAATTATCCTTTTTAGGGACTAGGAGAATGGAGAATTATGCTATTAATGTGTGTAGGTATGACTAGATGGCAGAAGAATGCAATCATAATATTTTATAGTTGAAGAGACACTTAAAGATAATTCTAGATTAACTCTCTCATTTTTCAGACAAGGAAACTCAAACTCAGGAATTAGTAACTTACCCCAAGTTGTGCACCTAAATATATTAAAATAGCATTAATAGCTGACCAATTACTTCTGCTCCATGTCAGTAGCCAAGAGTTTCAAACATTAGAAACTTGAAGGCTAGACCAGCAGATTATAGATGCTTTTGTTTTGTTTTGTTTTCAAATTTCTGTGATCTAAATACCCAGCTCTTAATAGGGAATAAACCTACAACAGAGGTAGCTGGAGATGGCTTGTAGTTGATATGAATATGTAAGGATGGTGTGTGAAATGCTTTTAACTCCAACCTAAAAATTAAAACAAGAGGCTTGCAGAATTATAAGTTTTGATAGTATGTGGGAGAATAGTACTGCATATCTATTAAATTTTTTACTTGCCCAATTTATCTATGAAATCTTCATTCATTCATTCATTCGTTCACAAATGTTGAACCCTTGCTATGACTTACTCCTGAGCTAAGTGCTGTGGAGGACAACATGTAGCAGGATGCTTCCCCCTCCCTGTACTCAAAGAGCTCACAGTCATACAGAGGAGACAGATGTGCACGTATGTAATTCTTGAAGGAAGGGGAAGCCCACCTGGACGCTGAGGGCAGTTTGCTCCACGTCAAGTGCTATATTAAAAACACCACTGCATTCTTGCTAGTCATCCTAACAGTGCCGCCTGTGCACTAATAATTCTCTGAAGAATCTTTTTTACCCTCAAGCAAAAATAACCTGTTTAGAAGATATGATGAAGAGGTGTTTCTGCTTCTTTTGAAGTTATAATATCTGCTAAGTGACGTACCCTGTGTTTCTGCTTCACTGTTCCCGGAAGGACCAAGGCTCCTGAGTCATCAGGTGGCAGTCATTCTCAGCAGCCATTGGCTCCCGAGGAGCAGGCATTTCCATCCGTCTGCAAAATGAAGAAGAATTCACCACCTGCTTGAATCCACCGTATGTGTGTTGGTTGGGAGTTATTACGAGATGTACCCCTGACAAGAGCCGAGTTGCCCAGACAGCTTTCCGTTATCAGATGGGCCAGTGCCAATCATCATTGTTCTCACAAGGTGATAGCAGGAGTTGTTCCCTGTTAAAAGATGGTGGCATTCTGGCAGGGTCATTGTGGTGTGAAGATGCATAGCATTTGTCAGGTTTGCCTAGGACTTCTGGAGGTTTAGTTATGAAACTTGTTAATTGAGCTATAAATATAGCTGCAGCCTTTGCCTTCCAGTCAGGCAGTGTGTTAATTTGGGTTTGGCAGGGGGATGGTGCAAGCTGCCAATGTTATGTTAGGATTAGTA